AGAGAGAGAGAGAGAGAGAGAGAGAGAGAGAGAGAGAGAGAGAGAGAGAGAGAGAGAGAGAGAGAGAGGGGACACCAGCCAGAATGAACGAAGCATTGGCAGAACACTGCGACCTAGTCGCATCCAAAATGCTATGCCATTAGAATGCTCTACTATGGAACATCTGAAATGGATATGGATCTGGAGGTGGTGCTTGTGCATTCAAAATGTTGGATCAGTTCAAATGTATAGGGTGTATAAAACAGTACGAACTCTTATAGGTGTCTATTCTGTCACATGTAGAGTTGTCGAGCAAGGCCCTGTGTGACCGGCCAACTGACAAAGTTGCAGATCTGAGATTGTAAAGGATGGCCATTGTGTCTAGGTCCACAGATCTTGCGAATTTGACGTCCTGGTTTGAGAATGCCATGAGAACGTACATAACTGCCACGATGCCACGCTCTGAGCACCCCAGGCCGTAAACAAAACACCATCTATGCCTGTTTTCTGTTCCGTCTACCTCTCACCTTTTCTTGTGTGCTTTTCCAGAAGGGGGTAGTCAATAACCCCACTATACTGATCTGATAAGAAGGAGGCTTTGAACTTCTTCCCATTTTCCCGAGTCAGCCAGCCAGTCTGTCTGTCTGTCTGCCTGTCTGTCTGTCTATGATTCTGTTGGTGATCAATCGGCCTGTCTCTCTGCCTGGCTGTCCCCCCTTTCCCTCACCCCTCTCTCTCTCTCTCTCTCTCTCTCTCTCTCTCTCTCTCTCTCTCTCTCTCTCTCTCTCTCTCTCTCTCTGTATATGAATATGTTTATGTATATAATGCTTTAGTCTACCAGGGGTGCCATCCATGCATGCGTGGCCAGGCACCCATGCAGGTCGCCTCTGGCTGCCCAGGGTACCCCCGGGCATGCAGAAACTCTGGGATTTTTTGGGTCAATTTTCTTTTCTCAGTGGGGCTCTTCTGCACCCTCTGGCAGCAGCAGCCCAAATCTCGGCTCTTTCTTGTTTCTCAGTGTTGTCCACTAAGAAGGGGAAAGGGGAATATAAATGGGGCTTAGAGGGGCTTAAATTGGGGTGTGCCTTAGTTTGATCTTTTTTTCCTTTTCTCTGTTTTTATCTTCGAGTTTATGAGGATTTTCTTTTTCAAGTGTGGCGTTCTGAAAACTCCATACCCTCAGAAGAGAATTTTTGGACATTTTTTGGGGATGCACCCAGACATACAGAGCAAAAGGAAGAATAGTTCCACTCCGGTATCCCTTCATTCCTGAGAGTACCGTAACCAGGTCTGTGAAATGGGACCAAGATTAAAGAAATCGCCCAAGGCTTTTGCGGGATACCCTTTATTGACTTTATTCCGTGGTCTTTGAGTTCAATCTGTGAGCACCGCCAGCTTTATGCAGTATTTAACCTCTGCCGAAGCTGCCCTAACCATTTGAGGAGTGAGTCTCTCTCCACTTCTGACAGCACCATTGCAGAAGGCCAATAGAAGGCGTAGACTCTGTTCTCCTATTGGACTAAATTGTATGGCAGCTGGGATACGGCCGTGCTTAAGGCTGACGCAGTCAGTAGGACGCAGGGATATCGGAGGATCAAGGGCACTGCCACTTACCCTGGATAAGCCACTAGATCAGTGGTTTTTGCTGACGCTTCCCCTGCATCGGAACACCTTTGAGGACCAGGTTCTTCATCACCGGCTCCTGGATAGCCCGGTGACTGGATTTTGGGGTCTGCGACACCCCTGGGCTCATTTGCTTCTACTAGGCCCATTGGGGCCTCCCCTCCTGCAGCAGTCCATCCAGACTGTACCCCGTATAGGGGTGGCCAGCATTGGGCCAAATTGAACAAGGACGGACAGCAGTGAAAATTTGGACCCTGAGAG